GGGGTGTCTCTGGGTGTCCGGGGGTGTCTCTGGGTGTCCGGGGGGGTCTCTGGGGGTCGGGGCTGACCCCTTTTGGGTCCCGGCAGGTGGAGTACGTGATCAAGTGTGACATGTCGGCGCTGCAGCGGGTCCTGTACCGGCACATGCAGGCCAAGGGGGTCCTGCTCACCGACGGCTCCGAGAAGGACAAGAAGGTCTGGAGATGGGATTTGGGAATTCCAGAGGGGGGGGGTGGCCAGGGTGGGTCCGTGCCCCGTTTTGGGCACGTTAATGTGTCACCGTTAATGGCACTGGAGGGGTTGGAAGTGGCCCTGGAGGGGTTGGAAGTGACCCTGGAACAGTTGGAAGTGGCCCTGGAGCTGTGGGATGGGACTTGGTGTCACTATTAATGGCCCTGGAGGGGCTGGAGGTGGCCCTGGAGGGGTTGGAAGTGACCCTGGAGGGGCTGGAGGTGGCACTGGGGGGGTTGGAAGTGGCCTTGGAGCTGTGGGATGTGGCCCTGGACCAGTTGGATGTGACTTGGTGTCCCCATTAATGGCACTGGAGGGGCTGGAGGTGGCACTGGGGGGGTTGGAAGTGGCCCTGGAGGGGCTGGAGGTGGCCCTGGAGCAGTTGGAAGTGGCCCTGGATCAATTGGAAGTGGCTCTGGATCAATTGGAAGTGGCCCTGGATCAATTGGAGGTGGCCCTGGAGGGGTTGGAAGTGGCCCTGGAGGGGTTGGAAGTGGCCCTGGAGCCCCCTTTGGAAGCCAAGGGAGGGGGGTGGGCTGAGCTCGGGCCCCCCCGATGCAGCTCCAGAGGATCCATGGGGACAATCCCGTGGATCCCCCAAGGCTCCAAGTGGCTCCTCAAAGCCCCCAGTGGGTGTGTGAGGAGGATGGAATCGTGGGAAGGTGGGAAAGAGGCGGTTGGGTCCAAAGGAAAAGCCGGAATTCCCCGTTTTCCAAAACAAAATTCCCAGTTTTCCGGCTCCGCTCCCCCGGACCAGCCGGGTCGGAGCGGCCTCTGCTCCCACCTCCAGGGGACCTGGAGGTGCCTTCAAACCTTTGGCTGGCTCTGAGGCTCCAGAGGGGGCTCCCAGGGAATTCCTGGGAGTGCTGGGAGGGCGGGTGGGGAGGGGGATCCGCCCCCATCCCGGATTTTGACCCGGCCTGGGCCGTTCCCCGCAGGGCAAAGGCGGCACCAAGACCCTGATGAACACGATCATGCAGCTGAGGAAGATCTGCAACCACCCCTACATGTTCCAGCACATCGAGGTGGGGCCTCCTCGGGACAGGGATGGACCAGAACGGGGATAAACCATCCTGGGATGGACAAAAACAGGGATAAAACCAACCTGGATAGGCCAGAACGGGGATAAACCAACCTGGGATGGACAAAAACAGGGATGGACCAAACTGGGATGGACAAAAACAGGGATGGACCAAACTGGGATGGACAAAAACAGGGATGGACCAACCTGGGATGGACAAAAACAGGGATG